CAACAAGTTTAAAATAGAAAGCAGACAAGTCTAACCAATCAATGAAACCCACGGGGAAAAAACCATGTGGCAAAAGCCAAAATATGTTAGAAACTCGAGGGTGTTGATTTAACTTGGGGTAAAAAACCGGTTGAAGCCAAATATGTTAGAAACCCAAGGGTGCCGACTACATTCAGCCATTGGCAAAAGCCAAATGAGTTAGAAACTCGAGAGTAAACCCTGGGGTATAAAACATGGGCAAAAGCGAAAGACGTTAGAAACCCAAAGGAAGTACCACTGGCTCTGTTAAAAGTTAGATCCCAAGGCCAAAATCTAACGGTTAAAACTAACCGTTTAGTAAAGCCCAAGAGACTTCATTGCAGCCAACTACAACAAAAGAGAATGGGGGCTATGATAGTCAGCCCATGAAAAGCGACAACTGACAACGATAAGTGTTCCAACTACAACAAAAGATAATGAGGGCTATGACAACCAGCCCATAAAACGACAATCAACAGCGACCAAAAAGAGGCTATTCCACAAAAATAGTCAACCCATGAACGACAAAATGCTCTCAAAGCAGAACTTTGACAATCTTCAACTTTGAGAGTGAGGGCTATTGTTATGGATGAGAAAATCTCAATTTTCTACCATTCAAACTCTTTATTTAAGGAATTCAAAAGAGAAGATATCTTGATGGCATATCCTATATTCAAAACGAGAAGATATCCTGATTGCCCCAAGATTCTCTCCAGATTCGAATTCCACAATCCCTAGAGGGATCAGGATTCAACTTCTATAAATACGGAAGTAAGTCAAACCCTAAAGGGGGCTACAAATCTCTACTTTTTGCTATGCTGACAACACCCTATACTTTATACTCAACTACTCCGATTCTGACTTAAGCATCAGAGCCTGTGTGGCAAGAGCCACATCAGTCTTTAGTGCTATTCTGTCTTGCACGTCTCGTCGATCCCTTCTATTATAGAAGATTGGTGCGAATTTGGTGGAATCCAATGAGGCCAAATTCCTGCATCAACATGGCCCATTGTGTCCCTTCTATTTTTCGTTGATTTCCTTTGGTACTTTTTGTAACAAGTTAATTTTTTTTAACTCCAAGTAAGATCGTGTTTAATATGCTAATAATAGTTGGTTGTAGTTACAAATGGATGTGTGGAAGTTGAAAGGGTAAATTAATTGCACATAATTACAAATTTAAAAATAGGACATTGTCCTCCCCCAATCCTTTCATCTTCCTCTGTACTTTCCTTTTGTTCTATACTTCCTCTATATAAATATTTGTCCTCTATTTTCTCATACCAACAAAAGAATCAAGAGGTTGTGGATGAAACAAAAGGAAAACTTTTCCAGTTGGTGTGAAAGTATGACGATTATTTTCCTTCTTTGGTAAGGACAACTACAATGTACATATGGGTGATCGATAGAAGATTGATAGTGAAGAGAGATGAACTAAAGAAATTAGTCCCGAATCGCATCAAGGTGGGATCAGTGGCCAAGTTGATGGTAACAGTTAGCTTTCTTGGAATTTATCATTGTTTAAATTGAAACAAATTGTAGACTGCATTGTGTTAAGATGTCAATATAATAGAAAAAATTGTTCTCATGGTTGGATAATGAGGATAATTATGAGTTTTTATTTTTAGAAAATAAAACTTTTGATTTATGTGCTATGTTCGGATTTTTTTTTTTTTTACAAGCTATGCTCGAAATTATTTGTATATAATTATGGAAAAAAATAATTTTTTTTATCCCAATCAACTTTATCAAATTGAACTAGAGTTTTTTTTTTCCTTGTCTCATTATTACCTTTCTTTTTCACTAGTCAATAAACAAATTTAGGAATTTAGCGTTAAAAAATTAACAAACTTAAAATGTAATATAATGATAATAATCAAGAAAAACGAATAGCAAATTAAGAACATTATATCTAGGTAATATAAAATGTGATCAAGAGCTTTTGAGAATAAGAGAAAAAGGCACAAAATAGAATTTTTTCGTCAATTTTATTCTTCTATTTTAAAAATTTTAACTGTTATTACAATTTTGATCCCTAAATACAAATTTCTCTCTAATCTATTGTCTCTATAAATGTGTCTCTCCCATCGAGGTTCCTCCAACTAATACACACCCTCTATATTATTTTGTCAATTATTTTTCTCAAATTAATCTTTTCATTAATTCTTGAATCATCAAAAGAACGGTTAATTATTGAATAAAAATAAAGAGTTAAGATAATACCAAAAGTTCATAAACAGTTATAGGTAAAGTTTTGTCTCTTTGTTTCTATATAATAATTGAAAAAAATTATAGTTGTTTTTAGTTATAATTAATAATAAAATTTTATAAAGCTAGAACATAAAGAATTAAAATACTGTAAAGTTTTATTTCTATAAATTAATTTAAAAAAGTTATGTTTCGAAAAAAAAACATTAAAAAAAGTTATGGCTTATTTATAATTATAATTAATAAGTTGGAGAGTTTGGTAACTCTCTCTCCTGCAATTATAAATAATTATTATTTTTTATTATTTCTCTCAATGTTTTGTGAGCGTCAAAACTTGAGTTTTTCTTTTTGCATTAGTATGGTTTCCTTAGGTCTTACATTACTGTTTTTTTTTTAATTAGATTGTTTGGACCTTCAACTTTTACTTTTTCTTTTAATTATAATGCAACGTGAATAATTGTTATTTTCTATAAAAGATTTATTACCTACCACAAGTAATTAACTAAAAAAAACCTAAAAATGACATACTTTTTTCTTTTTATTTTTTTTTCAACAACTCAAATAAGAAATCAACACAAAGTTTTATTTTTTTCAAAAATTGTTATTTTTAGGAATAAAAAATGGTAAAAATATAGGAATATGTGTTAAATTATTTATTCTTACTTTGTTGTATTTCACTTAGAAAAATTTTAAGTAACAATGTTTTTTAATTTTTTTAGTCACCAAATTTGGGTGATGGGATTTACCAAATTGTATTAAACTTTTTAACTGTTTATTACGAATCATACTCCTGAACTTCAATTTGTCATTTGTTTAAAGAATACCTTTATCATTTCAGTGGCTTCAGGACTACCATTGACCTTTTATAAACGTTTCAAAAATACCATTTCGAACAAAAATCTATTAATATTTGAATGAAAAACTGACGTGACGTAACAAAATTTGGCATGATAGTTAATATGAAAGTTTCTAGACTAAGTTTAGAAAGAGAGAGAATTTAGAATAAACGATCACTTTTGATAGCTTATTCCATATTTTCTATTTTAAATCAAGTTTCATTTTGAAAGACATTTAATGACCAATTACCATGGTTCTTTTTTAACTTAATAATAATCTAGAGTTTCTTGAAGTCTCTCTTGAAATTGCAAATCATAGCGCTGCTACTTTTGTGTAGGAAAAAAAAAAAAAAGAAGAGAAAAAGGTACTTCCTAGACCTACTTCGAAGAAATTAAAACTCCCTTTTCTTTGAAATATAAACGACAACATTATTTTTTAGGCAATGAGCTTACTAATAGAATTCCAATGTATGAGATCTTGTTGCATTGACTAATGAAGCTCTCCCAATTCATAGTATTTCGCAAAATGTTGCCAAACAGCTAGGAGTTGCTCTTTAATTAACACTTCGAACCCAACTTCCTAATCGAGAAGATAAAGATCAACTAACTTCTAAAAAAGTCTAGGCTCATTTTCCCTCCTCATTGTCAAAATTCTGGATGAGGAAACAAGGACAAATTCTGATAGCAATTCACATCAGTTTTACTTACATTTTCTTTTTTTGTCTTCTTCATTGGAAATTTCTGCTTCACAAGAAGTTGTTTGTTTCCATTGCTGTGGGGACTAAAACTTCTACAGCTTCAAACCATTTTGCCAGTCACTGTAGGCGTTAGCAGAGCACATCAGTGATGTTTGCAATTCTTTTGTCATCCAAATGCAAGTTGGAGGTCTCAGTTTCAGTGATAATCTCAGCTCAACATTAATGGATAAGCCTCAGAATTTGAATCAAAACTACAAGACACAGAACCCAACATCAAAGATTTCATTTTCCTATGACATTTTGAGTGGTTAAGGTTTTCACTGTACTAGTGGCAGTGAAGAGAGGAATTTTGAATATATTTTGACTTCATAAAAGTAAAACATTGAGAGATTTATCTTAACCTCTGGTGTCGGATTCATCTCCACCGTCACCGAACGTAGCTGGAAGAGTTATTTCAGCTGAAGTTCTACTGTTGGGAAATTTGTGGATCTGTTGAAAAGTTAAAGAGTTGGTCAAATTTCTTTGCAGAAAGAAGCATCACTAAGCGATAAGGAGCTGAACAGCTAATTGATTGTGACATAGAATAAAGTTTTCTTGTCAAGATAACAAAAAGATTTTATCCACACATTGGCTACTTTGAAATTTCTCACAGAGACATACAAAGGAATTAAGTTTCTCAAACCTTGTTGTGCATATGTCGGATGCAATGTCGAAGTCACAGGCTCGAGGCATCGAATGTCGTTGCAGATGACATTGCTCCTGCTCCCTGAATCTTGGAACATTTTCTAACTTTCATTATCCTTGCCGACAGACAACAAAAGGAATAAAATGGGTAACAAAATGCTACAGTAATAGGAAGTGAAAGTTTGTGTTTCAGAAAATTTCAGAGTTGACACTTGAGATTCAATGTACCAAAAAAGGCACTTCTTCTGAAGACATTCCCAAACACACCCTTAACTTTTTGGTACACTAAATCTCAAATGACAATATAGCAAAATATAAAGATTAGAGTTAGGAATGGGATTTTACCATCTAAAAGCACTTGCCAAATGTAACCTAACAGTTGATGGGATAAGCTACAGTTTTTCTCTAATGTTAGTGTAGATATTGGTGCATCCTGTGTAATAAGTTTCTTCCTGTTGGACATCATTAAAAAAGCCAATAATATCTTAGGCAGTTAGCAACAGCTAAAATTAGCAAAGATCATGACTTTTTCCAGGATATTTCAACAGAGTTTCATTCGTATCTCAAGTTAACTCATATGATTGATATATTCCGAGGATAAAATACGTCTTCACCGTCTCACTGAGCTAGAACAAGAAATTTAGCTCATCGTAGATATTGATACACAGATCTTACTATGTTTCTAACAAGGAACGTTCTTTTACAACTCTCAATGTACACTACTCTATCCAACCCACACATGTTCATTGGAGCCATTCAAACTACAAAATCAAGCTCCTCACATGTCAGGGTGGTAATTTTACATAGATAACGAGCCGAGATCAGCGGAGCTGATCATTTGACAGTTGGAGCTTAAACACTTCCGCCTCCAGAGGTTGGTGGTCTATGAGATGCTTCTAGGTCCTTGTCATCTGAGCTAGAAAACTTCAAGAAGTTCTCAATGTCTCGGGATTCTATTCCATGTCCAAGATGATGAAACCAATTCCTCTGCGGTTTCGGCTTCCTATCACTAATGGCTATAGCAATGTCATTAGGGAAGAGGTCGCGAAGCACGAAGGCGTGGATGATAGTTGTTACAAGGAGAGCTGAAACTATGATTGTAGCAGTTGCAGAAAGTAGAACAGACAGGACTTGTGTTACCACATGTGTAACTTCAGCTGAGTACCTAATGGTTGCAATTGCAGCTCCAGTCATAGGAAAAGTATATGCCCACCAGGCCAGTGAGAACCTATGATTCAAAACAAAATGTTCGTGAGGCAATAAAACTAACTTTAAAGAATGTTAATATTTTTAAATGAAGAAAGATGGTTGTATTGTACTTGAAGCCTCGGAAAAAGTTGACTCGAACAACCTGCAAAAAAGCATGGGTTGGTAACATGTTCAATGAAGCATCGAAATAAAGTGACCAAGAGAATCATGAAGAGAGAGTTGCAACTTTTTTCAGGCCACCATTAATCAAAATGCCTTATAGAGCTTCCTTTGCCATGTTTTTGACAGATCATATTGATTTATTTTGCATCTGTACCCTCTTAAGTTCAAAAGAAAAAAATAACTTCTCTTATTTTAGCTTGATTCTTCATCCATGAAATGGATGATAAAACACAGTATCTTCATGCTTATATGTTCATGACAGACTCGCAAAACAACAATAATAGTAAATAAGGTATTCAGATATCTATAAATGATTAAATTTCCCAACTCATCAGATTAAGCTTTTGGGTTCATTGGTCATTTAATATGTATATAGCAAAGGCAGAAATAAACAGCCATGATAATAAAGAATGAGTTGCATAGAGACTAACCAGTGAGAAATAAAGGAACAGAGCGATAAAGTAAGCAATTCGCGAACCATTGTCGAAGGAACCTTGAATTTTTGCCCATGCCATAGATGCAACACTTGGTGCTGCTATAAAAAGAAAGAATACTGGATGCAGCTCTTTTGGGAGTGTCTCATTGGTTGGTAGTCTCTGGTAGAGAGTTACAAAAAGGACTAAATAGTGAGCCAGCCCAATAGCGAAGAAGAATATGGGCCCTTCTTTTAGTCCCATTGAGGCTCCCAACAGAGCCCCCACAAAGTTCCCCACAATAGAGAGATGGTTTGTAGGATTAGCCACTTTTGACAGTCTCCGTTGGCCTCCCGACATCCATTGCCCATAAATCTTAAGCTCAAGACATAAAAATGGAGCCATGAGAACATACCAAATAGCTGGATGCAGGTCGGTGGCAACTGAAGGTGGTACGCCAATGGCTAAGAACAAGAAGGCTATCCATGGTGCGAAGAAGAAGTTGACACGAATAGGGTGGTAGTACTCGCGACGAACGGCTTCAAAGTATAGAAGAATTTTCAGAAGATAAGTGGAACTGACGACAACTATAAGAGCAATGGAAATGATCCATAAAACGAGATTTATTTTTAGGCTCAAATGAAGAAACTTCGTGGAGACTGAGGTAGCCAGTGTTTTCCACATGATTGCTTGGCTACTGACACCAAGACATATACCAAACGAAGAGATAGGAAATCGGAGTAGAAAAGGCCATGTCCTGTCATCTGGGAGCAGTATTTCTTCTGAAGCCTGTTTAGAAATTAGAAATGGAAAAGAGAAAAACAATTATTTCTTGTCTTTTGACAGCAAAAAAGGGATAGACCATTTGTCAAAGTTAAAAATGGAAAAAGAAACCGAGATTTGTTTATGCTATCCTATGAAAGAGTACTTTCCCAAAGAATAGGAAGTAGATTAAAAGACTGAGTTAGGAATGACTTCTGAGAATAATGGTTTTAGGTGAAGTACTAAATAAGCACTTCTGGAAGAATCAGAGTTTCCTCTAAAATCACTTTAGTTTCCTCTAAAAGCACTTCTCAAAGTGATCAGAGGCCTATACATAATTTTTTAAATCACTCTCAATAGGTAACCAAATACCATGAAATTTTAGAAAGTACTTTTCATTGGCTAAAAAAACCTCTCTATTCCAATTTCCAAAACCATCACTCTAACTCTAACTCTTCTTTTGATGAGAAGGTCAATTTCCCATTGAAACTAGTGATAACGAGATAAATAAGACAACCCAATTCGATTTTTAGCAGGATACTAGAGCACCAAATCTTTATTAGTCATTCTATTGATTAAATATGAAGATATCACAGTATTAGAAGGTTCAGATTAATACAGCATGAGTTAAGAATTTATGATGTTCTTGAGCGTAGGAGGAACAAAGGTAACCTACCTTTAGAGTTTCCAGCTCTGGACCTTCCAAGGCATCGAAGTAACGGTCAACGGGTATGGTGTTCTCAATTTCTGATCCGTCAACTTCAATTCCATCTAGCCCAGTTTCCTGTGGTGGCTTTCCACGAAATAAAGTTAATTGCCTTTCAAGTTTTCCAGACCATGTTTTGAAAGAATCAAATCTTTTGTCCTTCAATCTTGGAATACTAGGGTGATGTGCAACATTCCCGCTCCTCATTGCAGCATCCTCAAATGTAGAGCCCCTTGGAATTGGCTGAGAGTGAAACTTTGCAGCTTTCTGTGATTTCCCCCCAGCAGCAGAACCCATGGTTCCATTGTTTAGAACTGTTTCACCACTGAAGAGAACTCTTTTGGGGGTCTGTAAGTGAACTCCCACAGGGGAAGGTGGCATGCTGATGGAAACAGAACGCTTCCTTTGATGATTAACGAACTGGAGCTCGCCATCACTTTGAACGGCAGGTGATGCATTTCCCTGTTTTTAAGGTACAAAGAAGTCCATTATTAGCCTTAGCACAGGTGTTACGTTATTTTCTTTCTATATTCGAATTTGAAATTCTTTTGAAAGGAGTGCTTTTATTACTTCCTCCAAAAAGCTTTTGAGGTTTCCTTATGTGTTTTAGAATTTCCAAAATCTATGAAATTAGACACCATGAAAAATTTCAAGCCTGACCCGAGTCCCCATGTCTGCTCTTCTCTGCCAGCAACCGAAGAAGTTGGCTCAAGACCGACTCTTTCAAGAGCTCAGACACCCATGTGTTTTAGTTGACTGCAAAAACTTTTCACCATTTCATAAGACACGGGAAACTTCTGATTTTCAGATGATTTTTTAGGGTAGTAGTTTTAACTGAAGACCTCCAAAAAGTTTTTTAAGTGAATTTAGAATTTTTTAAAATCAATCCTGTATCCTCTTTTAAGGGTGTTCTTTAAATAGAGAATTTTGAAGTTTGCCACTAATAAAAGGTGATATTTGCCAAAAATATTTAAAATATCTAGATTCGGTAGGGAATGTATAAGCACCTAAAACACTATTTAAGAATGGTTAAATATTTATAGTATCCAAATATCTTATTATGAAAAAAAATATATATATATATTCTTTATTTGGAACAAATATTAATTAGAAAATTTTATTTTAATTAAAAAAAAGTCTCATTTGGATCAAATCTCAACTTATTATCATGTTGAAATTTTCTTTTAAATAAACAAAAATCCCACCAAAATTTTATAATATCAACTCCATAGGGTTTACATGATTTAATTTACTTTTAAAAATGATTAATTTGATAAAAGATTATGAGAATTTTTGTGCACCTACGGAGAGCCGAAACTCTAAAAAGACATATTACTCGACCCTCAAACCTCAAAATAAATTTATTGTTAACGAAAGTAATTTGATCAAATATCAATTTTTTTAATCTTATTAAATATCATTTAAAATTTTAATAAATATAAAAAAACAAAAAATAAAATGATTATCAATATCCAAGAGTAAAAATATTACCCTATTTTTTATCAGTTCTGGTTTGAAAGAAGATCACTTCTAAATTCAGTGAAAAGATATTCTTTGGCCAAATATTTAAAAATTAAAATGCCACTAATTTAAATACAGAAAAATTTAAATTAAGAAAACCGAATCATAATAAAAATATTTTTGTTTTTAGGATTTCTATCTTCTTAAAAATTTGAAGAGAATAAGGAAGAAAAACAAACTCTAGTAAAAGTGTATCAAAGTACACATGTGACAAGTCAATGCAGAGAAAAACTAGTGAGGAAAAGAAAAGGAGAACAAAAATGTGAACACCAGTGAGACATAGAATAAGAAAAGATAAACATATAAGAGAAAAAAATAGAATTGCAAGTTTACGCACATAAGCCAAAATGTTTTATACAGTAATAATATTAGTGATAATAAGGGAGTTAATAGGCCTATACAGAATAAACAAAACCAATTAGAAAAACATAATAATAGTAGAATTTTAATTGTGCAAATCAATATGTACTAAAAAAAAATTGTGCAAATCAATAGGCATCAGCAGGCTTAACACAGGAAAAAGCCAACGATTAAAAAAAAAACTAATTTAAATATGTATCATTTGATGAAAGAAAAAGAAAAAGAAAAAAAAAAAACTTACTCTGATGCACGAGATCCTACACTGGAAACAACTAAAAAAATATAATGAAATTTGAGATATGGTGAGGAGAGAGATTTTTGTAGAGAAGTTTTCTGTGGTATCAAGGAGAAAAAAATAAATCTAAGAACTCTCCTCTTCCTTTCCCTCCCCTACCTTTTGAATCAAATGGAGGTTTCTTTTTTATAGAGAGGAAAACTTGAAGAAAAAGCCAGAAAAGCACTCCCCCTAAAATTGGCACTAATCGTGAGGAGAAGAGAATTTGGAGGAAGACTAAGAATTGGAGAGAATGAGAAATCGTTGGGAGAGAAGGAGTGAGAGCATGAGAAATCGTTGGGAGAGGAGTGAGAGAATGAGGAAAAGTTACGTATAATTGGGAGAGTATTGGGAGGGTGGGGAGAGAGAATGAGAGAAATGGGGGAAGTGAGAAAGAGTTAGGGAAGAGGAGATATGGAGAAAAGAATGGAGAAATTTAGGGAATATATTTTGTTTTTTTAAATTCAATTTCCATCTTCCCAATTCTCATTTCTAAATTCATAATTTCAAATTTCAAATTTCAAATTTATTATAATCTAACGAAACGCTGCAAACTATTTTGAAAATTGCTTTTAATTGGGTAAGTCCATATTCACCATTGTATAATCTAACTCAACCCAAGTACTCCCAAGTCATCAAATGCAGAATACAACAACAGCATTAACCTAACCATTATGCCAATTCTAGCAGATGAACGCATGATATGGATAAGAACTCACATTGGGCTGTGTACAAGAGGAATGAGAATCGCTTGATTGAAGCTGATTATTTGGAAAGTCACTCTCTTTAATATTGTCAAAGCCAGCCACTTCAATTGATGATATGTATTTGATTAATGATGGAACTTCAGACGACTGCTCGGGTGTATAATCTTGATATTTTCCGTTTTCCATATGAAATACCACCACCTAGTAAGCATAGAAGGTTATGATTTTCGGGGAAAACTGGAAAAGGAAAGGAAAAAAAAGCTTGTAGGAAGATATGAAAGCTATAATATAAACCACGGATTGATAGTAAAGCATAAGCAGAAAATTGAATTATTCAGAGAAAAAAAAAACTCTTTAGCAAATTAAACAGCTAGTTCTCCTCAACCTGGTTAAAAAAAATAATAAAATAAAACAAAAGATTAATCTCGAATAAGACCAGTTCTTAAATGGAAGTAGAAAATTTGAACTTTGGTTTACAAGTTAGTATCACAGTTTCACACATGAACTTAGATATAAGAATGAAAAAGACCCAATTTGATAACCGTTCTAAATGCCTAGACACATTTTTTCAAAATAAATAAATAAATAGTTCTGAAAAATGTGTCTTTGTTTTCAAAATTTCCCTAAGAACTCAAGAGTGTCTCTTATGCAGGTGTTCTTTCAACATCTGTGGAATGAAAAGCCTCTGATCTCAAACGAAAAGATTGATTAAAGATGCCACACTACTTAGACAATACAAACTGTATTTTATTTTACTTCATGACCGTGTTATTCATGATCTAAACTTGATCAATGTTTAATTTTACATCATGATCAATAATGAATATATAAAACAAGACTTGATTTCCTTTGAAAAATATGCAGCGTGTTTCAGAACCATCCTTCTAAGCTGAATGAAAGAAAAAGAACATACCTTCAGAACAACTGTTGCAGCAGGAAAATGTCAGGACAGATAGAGAATAAGAATCTTCCTAGTTTTTGATATGATGAACGTCCAATCAAGCAGGCTTTGTCACTATCTCTTAAAGCAAAAGGGAAATCTTGGATTTCGGCAAGAAACTTTAAGAATAGAATTCTCTGTCCCTCCGGAAATGGCGAGCCTTGAGTATGGAACTCAGAGGCAAAGCATGTTTTGTACGAGAATGAAGAATGGCCAAAGCGGAACAAACGAGAACAACTAACACACGTCTTTCAGAAATAGGTAACATCACATATTTATAGACATGAACAGTCCATGTACTTGCAAAACAACCTCAAATGGGACTATTAAAGATAATTACGGCTGCTTATTTTAGACTGGAATGTCCTTAATCTTTAGGAAAAAACAAAACAGACCAGAGAGACTGTTCCAGCTATAAAGTGGGAATATATGGTTCTTGTCCAAAGTGAACACAAGCTTGAATGTTTTGTCATCATCTTCTTTGTATATATTATTCTGTTTGGCTGCTAGCAATTGGAATATTTGACTCAAGAGAAAGCTACATGAACCATGAGTTGCACACATAATTGCCAATGAACACAAACTAAAATGGGATAAATTTTTAATTATAGAATATTGTACCATGCGTTGTAGATACATAATTCCCAATGAACAAAAATTAAAATGAGACAAATTTTAAAATGAATAATATTGTCATTGGCCAAACAGTTATCTAATGGCAGTCCATGTAATTGAAGGAAGCATTAATTCAAATCCAATATCAAATTAATTAAAGGGTTGAATAGAAATTAGTCCTCTTCTAAAGCAATGAAACTTAAGAAAAAAGACAGTCTAGATCAACAAATTAGAAAAACAACAAAGTACACAAACCATGGAAATAAAATAAACCCACTAGTCAAAAGATTGCCATTAACTCAAATTTAAAAAATGATTTGAAAAAAGGTTGTCCTAATCCAAACAATGACAACAGTTGGTCCGGTTCTATTGGGTTTGAAATTAGAATATCTTGACACATATATTTATTGTGGCCAGCTGTTTCAGAAAATGATTTAAAAAAACAATCCCAATTGAAAACTGGAGAGAAGAGAGGAAGATTATAGAGCAATGCATAAGAAAATGGGTAAACCCCAGAGCAAGTCACCATCCAACGAAGTCAAATGATTAGAAAATCGCAGGAACAAGAGCGTAATATAATGGGAAAATCGATTCTGGGCCGTCAATTAAGGTCCAGATGTAAGAAAATCGCACATCAATTAGACGACAGAATTATGATAAACCCCAATCAGAAGTCAGACCTAACTTTTACAAATACTGGGCGGTGATGGTCCTAATCCAGAGAGACCCACATACAGCTATGAGGTATGATACTTATACGTTGAATGAATTAAAGAAATGAAAAAAGTTTTGAGGGAGAAGAAAACTCAAAAGTCGCTATTGAAGTCTGAGACGACGGCTCCATCTTTTGGTGATTGGAAGCGGAAATGGGGCCATTGGCGCTGGTGCGGTTGCTGGGAATTTTCATAACCATACAAGTTGAATTCAAATGGGTAGCTGAAAGCCATAACTTCTCTGTAAGGTGTACGAATCTGCTCTGCTGGAAGTGGGAAGGACCAGAGCACTAAAATTAAATAATGTTGTTCTTTGGCCCCCTTTCGAAACTTTTTTTGTTTTTCTTTTTTATTCCATTTGAATTATATAGCTGACAGTGACATGAATTACCCATTACCTATCTTGAAATTTAAAAGTTTGATTACAGCCACTCTTATTTCGATCAAATACGAAATGCATCGAAGTTTGTAGCTCTACGGGGTTCAACTAGTATACATTCTACAATACACCAACTATTAGAATTCATGATAGGTATAGGCTCGTTTGAAATTGATTTTGAGAGCTCTTAAAAGTGATTATGAAATAATCTTAATGATTTATATATCTATATATATATATTTGATAACTTGATAATCGATGAATCTATTTTGAATTGTTTTTAAAAACAGAATCATTTTACCACAAGTTTCGAATGTTTGCCGGTAAAGTATTGTATTGGTATTAATTGAGTAACTTATCCACATCTAACTAGGACTGAGTTCCAACAAACACAATTGAGATTCAAACTCATAACAAATTAATTGATTTTGAGAGTGACCTAGGAGCAGATTCCCCCCGACAGGCTCCAATTTTCTTAATTGCAAGCATCTTCGGGGCATAATCTTTTCGCTTCCCCACGAGGCGAGAGTCTTTCATTAAAGGGGGAAAAG